AAAAAAAAAAAAAAAAAGCAAAGCTAAAAATGAGAGCCATTCCCCGGTGACATGAATTTTGTTTACAAATGAACTTAAATAGCTCGTTCATAATTGCGTGTAACTGTTATGATTTACAGCAGGTGCTCTAATCAATCAGCCAATCGCTTTAATTTATAGAGAGCCTCGCTGCATTTTCCCAGTTGTTTCATTTCTGCGAGTAATTGATAACAAACCATACTTAAGGTATGTTTTATGCAGGAGTTAATAAGAGCTGACAGCTGCTACTGCTGCTTCCTTTGGAATCGCTGCAGCCGGGGTTTCCTCGTAGAAAGTGGGCTCCTCAATTCGAGGTGCTGGTGGTCTAGAGGGCATGTTTTACAGAGAAGACGACTAACTGATTACCCCCCCCTCCCCATGTGCAGCAGATCCTACTTTGCAAGAGCCCACTGCCACCCCCATGCACTGCAAAACGAGTTCTGCAAATCACAGGGTCCTCCCAGGCCCGGATGCCAGCTATTGAGGGCCTTCCAGCACATGTCAGTTCAATCATAAAGCCCTGTTTATTTGCAGCGTATCTGGAGAATCAAACCATTGGCGTTGGGGGAATATTTAAGGCGTCTGGGTCTCCTGAACAATAAGATCGGGTATCCTAACATATTACCAAGTGCTAAATACTGGGCACCTGCCAATTTTATAACCTCAATGTATGAAAGAGACACCACCGTATTCCACTGTTTTTATGACAGATTATTTCCTCCCACCAGGCCAGACCCCCACAATAAAAGCTGTGTAACAGCTCAAAAAACCCAAAGGCATGTAGATTTGCAGGAATTACATATGTCCTCATATGGATTGCATGTAGGCTCCAATAGAAACAACTGGTGTTGAGTGGCTTCACTTAGGGGAATCAAAAACTTGCAATGGATTCCTTTTGCTCCATTTTTTTTAGTAGGGCATGTTATGCAGCTCATCAAAGGGCATTTCATCGAGCTGGGAACCAGCACCCGACCAGGTAAAAATGAATTGGATTGTGCTTTCATGGCTATTCATATGAATTTTGCTATTGAGTCTTTTGGGGACGTATTAAAAAGGTGGGGGGGACCAACTCTCTCCACCTCCCCCCACCCTTGCAACGTATGCTGTTCTGCAGAGTCACTCAAGTGCACCATCAAGACAAAATCCACTTATAAAGCATCACAACCACTGAAATCAGTTCAGGACTGGCATGTTTCTTCAAACAAACCAGCATAAAGGCTTGGCTGCACCTTTTACGGTCCTTATATTTCGTGACCGCTTTATCAGGTCACTGCTCAGTGAACTGAGAAATTAAAGAAGAAACAACAGTTTTAAGGAAATTTTCGGGCTCGTCTACGCTCACGAAAGGGAGCTGGGCACATGGGGAGTGTAAATAGATTTCACTCCCCTTGCTCTGCCCTTTTAGAGCATTGCTGACATTGGTTAACCTTTGAAATATGGATTGAACAGGTTCAATATTTCTTTCTTTTTTTTTTCCATGTACATTTTCTTTGAGTAAGCAAGTCACTTTGCTTTCCCCTGCTCTGCTTGGCAAACTTCAGGCAGGGGTCTTGACAAATGACTCCAAGAAGGACTAAGCAAACCTAGGGAGCACTTGGGTCTAGTAATCCTAAACACATTGAGAGGCCTTGCCAGTGTGTACAACCATATCCATTGCAATTTCATAGCTGCCGAGATATGTATTGTAATCTAAACTCTATCTTTGGTAAATCACCTAATACTCCTTAAAAAAAAATAAAATAAAAGAGTGTTTCCCACGGAATGAATTACCTATATCGGGAGCATATCTCTATCTATAGCTCTACCGTTGGAGAGATATTACAGCTCTTTACCAGAGATCTTATCGTTTCGAGGTTTTGGTGGCTGAACAAATATAGATATCAGTGCGTGTGTGTGTGTGTAAGTGTGTGTGTAAAACCTCTGGGAATGTATTTATTTAAGCAATTAGACACTGCCATGGCCTATTTTCCCCCCGATATCGAGTTCTTTTCCAAAGGTGTTGGTGAATACCTATCCCCTGCCCCTAAAAGACCACACGTACGTGTGCACCCCATGCACCCTGCTGCTGTGAATAGCTCTAACTGATGCCTCCTTCTCTACAAACTGTCTGGAGTCCCAAATCCTTTTGTGTGCCTCTCCGGAAAAAAAAAAGAAAGAAAAAATAATCAACCTCCCTTCCATGTCTCCCTGCTCCTCCTGGCTGGTTTGTATTTTGTTTTAACATTATTCTCCCCTTCCTTTGAGTCTCTTTGTCATTTCCCCCTTCCATTTCTCTTCAGCTTATCAATAAACCGAGAGAGCAACAGTAGCCGCTTGATTTGTTAGTAATTATGAGCATACTGTTCCTGCAAACGCAATGGCTAGATGAGTGAGATCGCTTTAAAACGACAGCAGGAAATGGTAAGGAAATGGAGCATGGCAAAACTCAGCGTGAAGCTTTCAGTTCTTTACATGTTTACAATTTTCTGTGCATACATTAAGGCTGGGAGGGGGGCTGCTCCCCCCCACCCCTTCGGTTTCTGTTGGCTTGCTCTAGACCAGGGCAGGAAAAATGCAAAAAAAGTCACGCTGAGCACGCATCAAATAAAATACAGACATACATGCATACATAAGGCATGACATGGATCCAGCAGCCTGGCTCCATTAACAACATCGTGTGTGTGTGTGTATGTGTGAGAGAGAGAGTGTGAGTATGGGTGTATATATATGTGTGTGTGTGTATTGCTCGTTAACAAAGGAGAAACTTATCAAGTATCAGACTCCTGTCTCCAGATCTCTGCATGGCTTTATTGGCCTTGAAATTACCCCTTCGTTTGATGCGAAGGTCCATGCCCATCATAACAGTCCAAGTTTGGTTGCAGGTGGTTTGGTTTGGCTTTGTAGGGAAATCTAGAAAGCCAGGACAATATGAGTGTTACCCACTGCCCCTAAGACTCCATCCTGATTTTTAACATCAATACACAAATACATCCTGTATTCATGAGCTGCTAGCAAGGGCCCCTTCCCCGCCCTCCCCTCCACCCACCCAGCAAGCCCTCGCGTCGGAATTCATTTAAAAGGAAAAAAAAAAAGGTGCTCCCCCGAAATTGCTTCGCATTACATTAAACGTGATAATAAAAGACACGTCGTGGTGCAGAGAAAGACCCAAGCCAAAACAGCAACCACCGCCGCTACGACCAGCAGCACCTTGCACCCAGCACATCCTGCGAGTTATATTTCAACCAAATGCACAAAGAGATCACCTGAAAAGCAGGAACCAGATGCCCTGGCTTTTAGTTAATCATTAATTGCTGGCCATCTCAGGAAGCGGGGGGGACCTTACCCTAATCGACTGAGCAAGTGCCTTGTTTTAAGTGTTAAGAGTGCCTTTTGGACGGGTCTTATATTTAAAAAGTATTTGCAATAAGAGGGTGCACTGAAACACAAGGGATAAAAAAGCTTTGAGTGATAATGTGTGTGCAGACAATTTGCAGAAAGCGTTTAAAGGAAACAATAATAATAATAATAAAAGTCAGGATACTTTTAAGGTCACTGCCTATGCCCCAGAGCCACAAAAAAAAATGAACTTTGAATTCTTGCCACGCAAGGGTTTTGAAAGAGCCCGGTTTATTTTACCGCGCATCATGCCAAGCAAATGACAGATGAGCGGCTGACAAGGGGCCCCGATCCTGGCTTCCTGCCCTAGCAGGGGAACAAAAGGGAAAAAAAGAAAAAAGGAAAGAAAATCTCCCCTGGATTTCCAAAGGCACCTGCATCCCCAAGGAAAGGCAGGGGAAGACCCGCCCGGTTTGAAGCTGGGAGCTCCCCCGAGCTAAGTCTCGTCTGAATCCCCTCCACCCGCCTGCTCATCATGTCTCCGAGCCGCCCTCCCCAGCACCCTAACCTTAATGGGCCTAAGAGTTAAGAATGATTTTTTAATGTCTCGTTGGATTTTTAGGCTGTTAATGTACCGCATCCTTCTCATTATTACTTTATTGATTGCTCATTGACCAGCCCCTTTCAAATCGTATTAACCACCCTCTGCCAGTTTAGATTAGGCGGGTTTAAAAAGCACCTTTCATTATTTCACCACCACCACCGTCGAGTTCAGCTTTGGCAGCTTAATACTCTCTCTAATGGGGCAGCTAAGAGACGAGGGGCCACGGTCCCTGCCTATTGCATTAATAGCTCAAAGGGGGCTAATACAGAAAATTAGCCTTAAACGAGCTCTGGAGATCTCCAAATGAAAGAGCCATTTATCACGCTGGCTACCTTCACTCCACTCGTTTGCTCTCTCTACTGGGAACAACTCATTTCCTCTTAACTAAATTACTTTCGAAATGTCAAGCAAGCCCAGATAGCAAACATAACAGGAGAGTGTGTGTATGTAATCTGTTGTGGGGGATCAGCCCCCGATGAGGAATGGAAAACATTTAAAAGATTGGGGGGGGGGGGG